TGAAAGCATGAGACAAAAACAAGACTCCAAGAATTGATGGAATACCATTTGAAATGTTTCAAGAAGCTGCACTTGTCCATTCCAGGAAATTTAGAAAAAAGCTATTTGGCCAGCTGCCTGGAAAAGATCCATATTTGTACCCATTCCAAAGAAAGGCAACTCAACAGAATGCTCACATGATAGAGCAGTATCATCAATATCACATGCTGGTAAAATTTTGCTGAAGATCATCTAACAATGGTTCCAGCAGTACATTGACAGAGAATTGCCAGAATTTCAGACCAGATTCAGACGAGGATGTGGAACAAGGTAGATCATGCTGATGCCAGATGGATCTTGACTGAAAGCAGAAAGACATTTACTTGTGTTTTGTTGCTTATGCCAAGGCATTCAGCTGTGTGGCTCATAACAAACTATGGAGAACCTTGAGAGGAATGGGGATTCCAGAGCACTTCATTGTGCTCGCGTGCAGCTTATACATGGATCAAGAGTCAGCGGTGCAAACAGAATAAGGAAACACTGCATGGTTTAAAATCAGCAAAGGTGTGTTGTTAAGTTTGTATCCTCTCACCATACTTATTCGACATGTATGCTGAGCAAATTATTAGAGAAGCTGGTTTATAGGAAGAAGCATGTGGCATCAGGATTGGAAGAAGGCTTATAAACAACCTGCGATATGCACATGGCACAACCTTACTCACTGAAAGTGAGGATTTGAGCACGTGCTGTTGAAGACCCAAGAATGCAATCTACAGTGCGGATTACTACTCAGTGTAAAGAGCAGAATCTACAACTAGACCACTAGGCACCACTAGGATGAATGGAGACAAGACCGAAGTTGTCGAGAATCTCATCTTGCTTGTATCCACAGTCAGCGCTCATGGAAGCAGCAGTCGAGATCAAAGGAGACATATAAACCCCTGCGGACCAATAACGAGAGTAGCGATACCATGAGGGTAGAGAGAAGGTGGAGGTAGAAGGGGGAGAAAGGGGGAACCAATCACAATGATTGACATACAAACACTCCCCCACCCACCCAAGGGGACAAACAACAGAAACATGGGAGAAAGGAGACAGT